ACCTCTAGCGTACATTATAATACCTCTATGCACGAAACATCTTTCGACTCACAAAAAAAGAAAAAATTACAAGAGGCTGGTGGCGAAAGGATCCGACGAGGTACAGGGAAGAAGGAGGCGGAGGAGGTGGGCGGTGGTGTGTTTACCACAACCGGTCCCCACGAAGTGAAAGGAGGGGAGGAAGTAGCCGAGTGGGCTAACGCGTCTCAGCTCGGAGCGTGGAGCGAAAGCTTCCGCTGGGAACCTCCTGGGTTCGATCCCCGTCGCCCCCGCCCCTTTCGATCTGGATCAGTTTCGTACCGGCACGCGTTCGTGTGATGACTACTGCGTGATGCGCGTTAAAAACACAAGGTTAGCGGTTGTACTGCACTGGCTAAATTTCTCATCTACAGCTAAGAGACCGATTACCCGTTGAGGCGCATCTCCATCAAGGCTCTATAAACATAAAGAGCAAACCAATTTTTTTAATTGAAAGGGAGGAAAGCAGCAGGGAGGTAGAGGGAAATGTGGTCAAACAGAAAGGACACAGGTTAGGGCAAATAGGTGGCGAGGGCAAGAGAGCGGTCACGTGGCGGACGCCGCCAAAGGCGTCAAGGGCACCAACTGCGGCCGCAGATACGCGACATCTCATTCTGAAAGAGAAAGCGAGGGCGCGGAAATATCGCACGGAGAATGCCGGATCGCGAAGGCCTCGATTACCTCTCGCCCGTAGCGGTCGCCGCTACAGCCCAGAACCCGGGCCGAGGAAAACTAGGGTTGGCAACATAAGCATGCCTTAGAGTGCGTCACTATAGTGTGCTGAGTCGGCCTCATTCTTGGAGCATTCCCTCTCGTGTTCGCGCAACCTATCGTTCAGGCAACAGCCCGTTTGCCCGATGTATTCCCCACCGGATGTTAGTGGTACGGAATATACGCGTACCGTTGCGCAAGCGACAAAGCCTCTCCAGTGGCTCTTTGAGCACTGCTCTCCTGAAGTCGGGGGGTCATTAGCCCAGCGCCACAAAGCCCCCAAGCGGAACCTGCCCGAAAACACGACATCGACGTCGTGCCGTCGTGCGATGGCTTTCAGACGGTGCGCGGTGTTATGTTGGTAGGGCGTGACTGCACCCTTTTGGCTTGGCGCGGTCGGTCGGGGGCTGAGATATTAAAGATTTTAGGGGGGTGCTAGTCAGGTCGCGTGGGTAGCCTGCTTGTTGAAGCCGAATGAACTGAGAGTGTACACTGGAGTGAGAAAGATGGGAGCATGATTTCGTGCAGGAAGAGAAAAGGGATCTCTTCACAATGCCGGATTTTACAGATTTTGAATAATGACTGGCGCGAAAGGCAGCACCGGCTTCTGGGTGCGTTGCTGGAAGCTCTAGCAGACTCCAGAAGGGGTGGAGGTCAGTCGAAGGTCAAGAAACTGCAGGCCCTCAGTGCACGGGTTCTTTCTTGTAAAAACGAGTCCTTGCGAATTTCGCGAGAACACCTGCTCTATGGAAGTGGGTGACACACACGGTTCGTGGATAACCAAATAGTCATCGACGTAGCGGTAGATGTGGTCAACGGGAGCCAAAACACCGAACTCTCTTTGAACGGCGCAGTTTACCGCCGCCATGTAGACCTCGCTGAGGGCTGGGGACAGGCAGGAGCCGATGCAGACCCCGGACCTCTTCCTGCAGACCTTGCCGTGATGCTCAACTGGGGTTGACTGAAGATACAGTCTGATGAGATGAATCAATACGTCGATAGACACACCAGAAGAATTCAGGAATTTGACCAGTTCAGATTCGGTCACAGCCTGCTCAACACAGTTTATGAGTAAGTCAACATCGAGGCTATTGTACATGTCCTTGACATCCAACGAAAAAAGCGCGGCGTTGTAGCCCGAGGAGTGCAGGTGACGGAGGGCTGGTAACGCGTCAGCGGAACCACTCACTCGGAAGGGCTGTTCCAGGGGGACGGCCGAGACGGCTTTTGGGAGGTAGAGCGCCAAAGGCTTCTACCAGCAGCCCTTCTGAGAAACAATGCCCCTTAATAGAATATCCGGCTTTTGTGTCTTGGCCGTGAAGAACACGCGCAAGTATTGAGCCGAGGGAGCTGACAACCTTGTTAGACGGAAGCCGAGCTGGTTGGCCTTGCAGAGTTTTTGGCCTCGGAGCGAAGCGATCCAGATGGTCTATTTTTCAATGCCGTGAAGTTTTTTGTGAGAACCACGTCAGTTTTCTCGCTGAAGGAGGCATCACTCATAACGATGAAGATTCAGGTTTTGTCCGCTTCCAGTATCTTCAGTTTCGAATTCTTCAGCTTTTCAACAACCTTCGGGAAGCCGATCTTGAATGAAGGTTTTTTTGGCGTACCTGCACGCCACTCGGGAACCTCTGGTTGAGAAACTCCATCCGAGCAGGGTTAGGTATTTTTGACGCAACCTGGTGCACCGCCGCCAGGTGTTCAACTCTAGACGGAGCAGAAGCTGGAGCAAACTTCGGCACGTTTGACAGAACCACTTCAGCTTGCGAGGAAAGGGGGGTGTCTGATAGGTTAACAGGTAGATCTAGCTTTCAGGTCTGGTTACTTCGCTCCTCAGCTGCCGAATTCACAGTGACACGCCTCCAAGTGGACTCCAGGAGTAGGTGAGCCGACCTGCCAAAAAAGGTACACGACGGGTGGCGTGTCATAGTTGACGAGTGACGTCTTAAGGGTCACCAATGACGTCATAAGGGCCACAATTGACGTCATGAGAGTCACTAGTGACGTCACGAGGGTCACCAATGACGTCACGAGGGTCACCGGTGACTTCACGAGGTCCAGAAATGACGTCATCAAAGTCACCAGTGACTTCGCGAACGTCACGTGTGACGTCACGAGGGTACCGAGTGAAGTCACCCTCGTGACGTCAACATGGGTTTAACCTCCCCTCCTTCTCCTCAAGAGCTGTGCTCTGATTCCGCATTACAGAGAATTGTAAACGACTTTAATATTTTTTTGAGTGATTAATACTGCGGCACAAAAAACGAGACTTTCAGTCTAAGGGAAAGACACAGAAAAGGGAGTCTCAAACTGAGATACTTTCTTTGCGTCTATGAATACTTATACACCAAAAAATCTAAGGCTGACTACCGCCATCTGTTCACTTAAAAGATACACAGAAATTAGCCTTTATTCCCCTCCCTTCCCTTCAACCTCCCCCCCCCCCCCCTGTCTCTTAAAACTGAAAAACGGATGCGACCTTCACGAAGAACTGGTAGTTTTCAAGACTGACCTCGGAAAAGCCCTACTCTCTTCTCCACTTGCTCATCTTGCGGATATCAACGTAAGGAAGCAACTGTTGTTCATCTCAAATAAGGGACTGAGTTAGGTTGAAATGTGTGAGGTTGTTGTGAAACGTGCGTGGCAATGTAAAGTAACCATTTAATAAAGAGTCACAAAATTAACCCCTCGGCTTCTTCCCGGCTCGTAGTACAATTGGATGGTCTGAATCACCCACCAGAAACAGAAATATGAAAAAAACGCTGATATTATTAAAGGTTACTATATCAACAAGTGAAACCTTGCTTCCAGTTGTTTTCTTCTCTTGGTGTCTTTCCATCAGTGCATCCAAATTTGTTTATTGCCGTTTGATGGGATATATTTTTACCTAAATCTTCGTTTGAATTATGTTAATATAGTAATTAGCGCAATAAAAAGTGCAACGTATGTGTAACGATACGTTCCCTTCTTTGAACGGTAACAGGAATAAGTTCGTTTCTGACCGATGTAACTTGTAACGGGAACGCGTTCCGAAAATCAGAAAGAGCGAGGAACGAGCTTTCGTTCCAGGTTTTCTATAAAGTGTACAACACTGGTCTGACCTAGCCAAGTGCGGGAATTTCTCGCATTCCTTAGGTGTGTCTCTGTGTTGTTTTTTTCTTTCTTTTTGTGTTCTGGTTTTTCTCCTTTTATGCTACGTGCGTGCATGCTTTTGTGACTCGAGGTTGTGTATGGTTTACCGCATAGGTTTAAAGTTAGGGTGCATTGTGTAGTGGGTGAAGGGGTCGTTTGAATTGTTAAAGTGGTCAGGGACATGTGTATAGCGCGATGGTTGTTCAATAGATTTCAAAGTCTGTGAAAGACTTCGGTCTTCTCTGTGTGTGTGTGTTTTTTTTTTTTCCTGCGTTGTAGGGTTGCTACGAGTGTCATTCACCAGCTCGGTTGCGTTTTCTGCCTTTCTTCACTAAAGGAAAGTAAAAAGAATTATACGCCTACAAAAAGAAAAAGAAAAGCGAGAACAGAATTGCATACAAAGCAAAGTCAAATGTTAAGCTGTCTAGATCCACAATATATACGAGAATAATGCTTAAAAATGGAGGTAGAGTGGAATTTATCACTTGAGATTTCGCAATGTAATTGAGTCAAGGTGGAGCTTACTCAAGCGAATTCATTACTTGCCGTTTACTCGGAAAGTAACACTCGAAACTGCGGTACATTCACGCACATATGACAGAACTGGAATGATAATTTAAATCAGTGTTTAATTCAACAAAAATGATTACGTTATGCCCATTATTGAGTCGCGGAATTAAAGATTGATCAAATTGTCAATACAATTTCTAAAAAAGTAGGGCACGGCGATCGATGCATTCTTCGCTTAGCTATTCAGGTATGAGTTTCGCCTACACTATTCCATCAAATAGTTCCATTCATAGAAATATCAATTAATGTTCTGTTCTAAAATTTAATACAATATCGGTACGTATGTCATTTAGGCAAAGTAAAATACGAGATTCAAAAATATAAAAATTTACAATTTGTTTATTCACCAGAAACTTCAAGAGGATGAAATACGTTAATCGAGCACGAGACGTGTTTTCGACTTTCATCATCGGTTACTTTTTAATAAAAGTGTCCAAATGGTATCCAACGGGTCTTCTTAGCTAACGATGAAACTGTTTTTGAAACGTATTTCGCGCAGTAGCTCGTGCGTGTAATGGCTTCCTCTTTCTTTCTCTGATCCCGCGCTTCCGCTGATAAAACATTTGCAGTCAGGAAACCGGAGCTGCCTCCGTCAGCGATGCCGGGAGACTCCCGGGGATTCCCCGCCTTTCGGACTCCATCCTTCAGGCGGCGCACGAGGAAGCCGTCAGCATCCGATGCTGTCCGTTGCAAGTTTCGAGTGATGAATGCAATGAGCCCTTTCGCAACTAGAAGTGGAAATGGCCCCTTCACCGTTCACGCATATATAAACAAGCAAGTCCTAAGGCGAACCAACACAGCCTTTGATATCGTCTCGTTCGACGGGTCAGTCTCTTCCAGTAAGAATGTCTCGTGTCGCACTGTATTTCTTTGTCGCTCTGGCTGGTGAGTACGATTATATTTGGCATCCCCTCGTACAGTCATTAAGAAAGCGCAATAATTATTCATATTGTGAATGACTGAGTAGTTTAGCATAAACTCAAGTTTCTCATCGTGCCCCTTTTTTTTAGCTTCAGCGAAAGCTTGGTGTAGCGAATATATAAACGTGTACCACTATTTTATGATGCTGTTCTGAGAATCAGCGTTGAACAAGCTTGTGCATAAAATTATTTGTCTACAAAATATAAATGATGTACCCTGCCACTCCTATAACTGAGGCATGCAATAACGTTTAACGGCCCGCTCCCTGCAAACATTACAAGAAATACAGCTTGCATTGATTTGGTCGTGTTATATCTTGTACTTTATATTTATTGCTTAATACTATGCTAGTACTTAATAATTATATAACGTATTGTTTCTGTAGCAGTCCCAGAGGTAGTAAATATATTTACTTTTTTCTAAAATTAAGGATACGAGCTAATTCCTTGAATGCAGATATCCCATACAAATGCTCTTGTCTTCATTTCAGTGCTTGCCGTAACCCACGCTGTGAGTATTTTACGTAAAATCTTACCGAGAATGGTGTCGCAATATAGCACACATATTACAGTTCACTTGTGTCAGTATGTTATTTCTCCACGTCAAGCAGTCGAGGAAATATTAATAGGTTTCACATACTTGATACTGGTTGCTATCGGTGTTGTAACTATTTCCTTTACTTCAAAGACCTAGGTTAACATCTAAGTTTCTCCAGGAGATAGAACTAAAATTAGGCTCGAATGTATGAAAATATTCTGGCGTGCATAGAGAGGCTACTTTGAGTTCTTTCCAACAATTCGCAAAATCTGAATATTCGAATGTAATAATTCCAAACGCTAGTTCAGATTTATATCAGAAAGTTTTTTTCTGAAGAAATTTGTTATATACTAAGGTTAAATATCTGCCTGTGACCCTTAAATCGAGAAACCACGCCCCTTGACATAACTTTTCAAGTTAAGATGTATCGACTCCTTGTTACTATAAAGTGCACATCCAATAAGTGACGTCAGGACTTCACTACAATCCTCGAATTCTCCTTGCATGTCTCTCTTGAAAAATTGGAAAGGCAATCAGAAAAAAATTGAGAAGAAAGCTCGGCGAGATACGCTGCCGGAAATCCGCTTTATCTGAAAATCTAAATGCCAGTATGTCAGTGTATATCAGGTTTCAGGTGTTTATGCCATGCTCAATATCACAACGGATACATACTTTTTAGGACGGAAACATGCAATATGCCTTGTCATTTGACACGTTCCCTTTGTAGATTGCAGTGATAGGCTCTTTGGATGCTGTGCGGAAAAGTAGGTGCACGGATGACTTTTAGCTATGCCCCAACGCATGACAAGATATTGTAACCTGTTCCGTCAAGAAAGTGGCATTCTTGTTTCCAATATGTAATCATAAACTGATTGACTGCTGCATAAGCAAAGCAATGTGTGCTCACGTGCTTTGCCCTAGCGTCGATGAAGGATGGTGACACTGATTTGTGAAACAAGCTCATCAAATTATGATGAAAAATTTGGATTCGAAAAGCGACCGGCTGTGGTATAATAATCATGAGATTATTTTAGTTAATACTGCTATCCGAGCCAGTGTTTTGTTTCTGTTTAAAATGCAACGAAAATATTTTATGAAGGCGCGTCATGAAGTTTGTAGTTTATTTTGAAATTCAAGTTTCTTTAGTCAAATATTTATCGGTAATCCAGAAGCGGGTCTTGAGTTTCTGTTATCAATTTACCCATATATTTAAGATAAATATTTGTGTTTTTATAATGTCTAGTATTGTGCACCTTAAAATTTTTGTTCTTTAAATTATAGCAACGAAGACCGAATTTCAACTTCCAAAAACCTCCGCCTCGTGTAAGTACTTTTAGATGTTATGCTAATACATCGCCCGTTTAGAGCATGAAGAGTTGATCGTAAACATGTTCGACAGAGATATGCCTGGCTAGGAAATAAATAGACTGGATATCTTGATGGAGTTGAAGATGGAGGTCATTAAGATAATATTGATGAAGATAAGGAAGAAGATTCGCCCAAGACATAGTAACCCGTGACCAAGGGACCGAGCTGGTCCCGAAACGTAGGGTATATCTTTTTATTCAAACTTGGTTTGAGTTTCAATTTTTCAGTCGGCCTAGAGCATGAAGAAGTGTTTTACATTTTACCGGTAAAGCGATAGCAGATGGAAATTATGTTCTTATTTCTCTTTCTAACTGTATGAAAAATTGCACTGTGCCAAACCTTTGAAAGAGCTGGTTGACGCTACACATGCAGAACTTACGCACAAATATTAACAATCCGATTACACAATTATAGATATTTGGTATGCCTAACAATCAATGGCGAAGTATGTAACTTTTGAAATATTTATTTAAATCTCACGCGCTTTTTTTCAAACGTGGTAAGATAATTCACACAAAGGTTAATTTTGATGAAAAAACACAACACGGTGTTTTTCAACAATCTATAAATCCTTATGCAGGAAAGTTTCTTTTTACAAATGACGACTGTAAAAAGTTTGTTCATCAATATGTGTTAAATATCCAGGTTGGCACATTGCAGGAAATAATGCCCTCACTTGCTCAGCTGCACTGTAAGAAAAGTGGGTTAGCTAGACAGACATATAGCTCGAAAGTTCTTTCAAGTTCTTGGCACAAGTTAACTTAAAGAGTTAGCATTATTATAGAGTACGGAAACTAGCGCATGCTCCAATCGAGAACTCAAAAAATAGAAAGCACGTCTTTTCGAAAGTGGCACGATAATGAAGTCGGTTACGTGCTTCATGAGGCCAACTTTAAAAAAAATTAATTGCTAACACAGCTGAGTTTTGCTCAAAGTTATTCATAATGAACGTCATACGCAAAGAGCGACAACGACGAAGTGTAACTACGCAGCTTGAACAAAATCATCATAAAAACTGTAAACCAACTGAATACCCGAGACTTGGGTACAAAAAGTGCAAAACACACACCAGTCTCAGGACATGTGTGTGTGTGTGTGTGTGTGTGTTTGTACCTAAAACTCGGGCGTACTAGATGTTTGAAGTTTACCAGCTAGCATGGTGGATCTCAGCTGTTCCTATTAGTATTGTGTTTAACAATTCCTAAATTAACAGAAGGGAACAAAAACTTGGGTGATTGAATAGTTTGGGATACAAAAAGAAACGAACATAGACCTACGTCAAGATATGTTGAACTTCAATCAAATTGAGCAAGCCATATTGCGTATTTGCAACATGACATTACACCAAATAATAAAAACAAACTTTCTAGAAGTTAAAAAAAAGTAGCCAGATAATTCCGAAGCATTGTATGGCCACATGGTTCCGCTTCCATTTCATCGAGATTTATACTCAAATTACCACATGGTGGCACTGATTTCTGAGTTCTGAAAGAAAGAAAGAAAGAGTTCTGAAAGAAAGAAAGAAAGAAAGAAAGTTTTTGTTTTTTTTGCAAATTAATGGTAAAATGAAGTAATCCTTAATATCGGTGCACCGACTGGGCAATCTCTGGCCGAGTGCGTTGCCTCACAGTAGTTCCGAATACATAAAGCGAAGGTTTACACTGCCAAATATGAAGATTTTGGATTCAATCCCCGCCCCCTTCCCTCTTAGATCTGGCTAAAGTTCTCATCGTGAACCAGTGTCACCTTATTGAGACAGACCGACCTCATGCTGCCTAAACAAATAATATATATTCTCGTTTTTTTTTGTTTTTTTTTCCTTTCGTTTTTTTTATAGCACCGCTTTGAGCTTCAGGGAAGTGGTGGAGGCAGAAACCGCGGCAACTACCACGTCAACCTGGGTGCTCGGGGAGAGTACGACATCCACCGCTTCAAGAACGGAGGAAAGGTGGTGGGCTACGGACAAGGCTCCCAAAGCTTCGGTCGCTTCGACGGACAATCCTACAAAGGAAAGCCTCAAGGCGAAGTCGGTGTTCGGGTCGAGATTCCCATCGGAAAAGGCAAATGAGAAGACACCCAGAATGTCCTTCTATTCACTCCTTCTTATGCCAAAAACGGTCTCTCTTTGTTTTGGTGTTCGTTTAGGTGTTACGACGAGATAACTTCATCACATTTGTTTGGTCAAGCACCATTATGTATAGGACGACATGTTTATTGATATTAAATTTATACTGCTTCCACAATCTATTTGGATCCTCATTGCTCGTAGTATTTCATCCGCAAAGCGAAATAATTAATATAACAATTGTGCACCTACTAATAGGTATAATTCTGGAAATAAGCCGATTGCGTAATATTGTTACCAATTTATATTTCAAAATTATACTCCGACCAGGTACACCTTAGAGGCCGAACTGGGTTGGTGGAAACAGCAGACGTCATATCTGTTTGCAGTCCACCATAAAAACTAGACCCACACAAATACATAAAAAAATATAAATTTATCACATTTTCAAGCCACCTAAGACCGGATGGAGAAACGTCTGTTCCTTTCTCTTCTATTTTGGATTGTTCGTGTCTCCTCCCCCCCTCCCCCCCAGTCTCAGGTGGCTTAAGAAAATGGTATATCTGCAACAACTTACCTGCACCGCCAATGTTTTATTATAAAAATTATAGCTAGGACAGTCATATTTTAGGTATAGTATAAATATACTTAAAATATACATTGTGTTTCAACTACTAATGCAAGTTAAAAAAAATCACTCCAAATATTGAAATGCTTTATTTTCTATAATCTGAACGGCCCCGGCTGAGGTCAGGTAATATATATAATTTGGTTATTAATTAATTTGTCACCTAAAATTTACTACTAAACGTT